TGTGTGTGTGTGTGTGTATGAGTCACATTTGTTATCCATTCATCCACTGATGGACACTTAGGTTGTTTTCATATCTTGGCTCAATAATACTGCAATGAACATGGGGTGCAGTTATCTGTTCATAGCGTTTTTATGTGGAGTTGCTGGATTCCAGTACCAGAATTCTGTGTGACTTAGTGGATTTTCAGTCATTTCAGAATTTATTTTTAAACTGCTGTGAATTGCAGCTTTTTTTAATTGAAATACACTCAACTCCCAAATGACTATTTAACGTCTAAACTGATCCTAGTTAGAAGCACATTGTTTGTATTAATAAATGTTGACAAACTTTCATTTTTCTAAGGGTTCTTGTAAGGTCACATTTATCAAGTTCCCTTATGAAACTTGATAAATTCATGGAAACTGCTGATTATATATTTTTTACCTTGAGCATTTTTCTTTCATTCTAAAGTTGCTTTTGTCTGCCTATTCATCAGAATAACATTGCTTACTTTAAATTTATTTGTTGTGAAAACAATACCTTTTATTCTAAGTAAACACTCATATCTTATCAGACTTTTTATATTTATGTTTTTATAGTCACCTTTGTATTTTTGTTTCTTCATTTAACTCAAGATATACAGAACCATTTGTACATTATTGATTTGATGAGACAAGAGTTCACTTGCTGGTAGCTATGGCTCTGTCATATGGTGCTGTGTGAGTTTTATTTCAGTCTCCTTAAGAGAGGAGGAGCTGTTGATCAAGGTTATAAAGACAGCTGGCTGCAGCAGAGGAATTATTCTTGAATTAAGGACACTAAAACAGCCTAGATTTATGTGTCTCATACCATGTCCTGCAGAAGCAACAGGAAAATCCACAGTAGAATGCTTTTCACTACAAACCTTGGCTGAACCAATGAGCTAATTACCCTCTGCTTTGGACTTTGTAGACATGGCCCTAGAGATACCATTCACACAGATCTTGAGGCTGAGCAGCTGATTATTTGCTATTTCAGATGACTGGTAATTATTTCCAAGAAATTAGACTCAGTAAGAGGAAAAAACATAATTGCTTTTCCAGCAATTTCTCCTCATGATCAACAAAAAAACAGAGTAAATAAATGTCTATATCTTGTTGGAAACTTTTAGTCTCCCATGGTGTTTTTATCTTTCAATTTTTTTCTAGCTTATCTTTAGAAAAATTTTCATTGTATATGACATTTTGGTACCAATATAAGTAGTTATTAGTTATTATTTAAGATTTCTTCTTTTTCAATTTTGATACAGTATTCATTATTAAAATTAGCCTCATTCTACATCAAAGTGTTAATAGAATATATCATGTGGCCTCAGAGGCACATCAACTAGGTATCCACTGGCCTGAATTGATTGTGGGTGATTTATAATTAGGCTACTGACTTCTTGGGAATGAATGACAAAGAACCTTATGAATGCCAGGTTATTTATCTCATAATCTTCTTTATAGTTAGCTCTGGTGATCCCACTAAGTATACTGAAATTCTGGTAAGACATAGAAATTACTTAGAAAGGAAAGTCTTTTATAAAATACAAATACATATTTTAACACCTTATCTGTATAATAAAACTCAAGTTTTATTTATGATGCCAATGTCTTTCATAAAAATTAAAGAATAATCTTTTTCATTTTTTCAAAAAATAAAAAATGTGTATTTTTTTCTTTCAGCATGTGGAGAAACTCTACAAGAATCCAATGGCAACCTTTCCTCCACAGGATTTTCCAGTGGCTACTCTTCTTATACATACTGCATCTGGAGAGTTTCTGTGACCCCAGGGGAGAAGGTAGTTTATCCCATCAAGAGTTCTCTTTAGTTTTGTATAAGCAAAGGTTCATCATTTTTTCAAATATAACTTACTTAAAAAAAATCTTCTTTGGTTCATCAAATAGCAGACTAAGTAACTCAGAAAACTTAAATAAATGGAAATTACTCAAACTCCAAGAATTTTTTAAAAGATGTAATTTTAAAAGAAATGTTAAATAGCCTAAAGGGTTGAAATAATACAAACTATGTTTTCAGACACAATGAAATTAAGTTAGAAATCAGTGTCAGAAAGGTAACTAGAAAAATCTCACATATTTTAACATTTAAAAATATACATCAGATATCCAATTTAGTCAAGAAGAAGTTATAATGAAAATTAGAAATTATTTTCAGTTCTAACAAAAATACTGAGAATACCAAGCCTGGAAGATACACATAAAGCAGTATTTAGAAGGAAATTCATAAGCTTAACTGCTCACATTAGGAAATAAGATATACCCTAAACTAAACAAGTAAACATCCTCATAAAGAGGCTAGAAAAAGAGCAATGAAATAAATAGAAAAGTACATAAAGGAAGAAGTAATAAATAAAAATTAAAAACATGAAACATGGCACAAAATATAAAGAAAGTTGGTATTTTGAAACAACTTAGATAAAAAGAGAAATGGATGAAAAGAGCTTAAGAAAGAAAACAGAAAAGCACAATTACCTAATATTTAGAATAAAAAGATTATTATAATCATAGATGCTTTAGACACCAATATAAGAACAAAGAATATTTTGAACATTATGCCAGTAACTTAAAAATATAAACGAAATGGCAAATTTCTACAAAATATTACCAAGTTCTTACTCAAGAACAAATAAAAAGCCTGAATGCTTCTGTAAGCACTAAAGAAATCAAATTACTATTTGGTTGAATTATTAGTCAGTTTTTTCAATAATGAATATTCAGGTTCAGATGGCTTAATCAGTGAGTTCTATCCAACAATCAAATAAGAAATAAGTATAATCTTACATAAAATCTTACAGGAAATTTTTAAAAAAGAATACACTTGCTTATTTATATATGTAGCAAAACTTTGATAGTCATCCTGATGACAAGGACAGTATAAGAAAGGAAAATTTTAACCCAGACTAACCACTGAATATATGTGTAAAATCCTTTCCAAATTACCAAACCAAATGCAGGTATATATATGCATCTGTCTATAAATATATAAATAATATGTAAAATGTATTATGTATATTTCAAGTACAGATATAAATGCATCAAAATGTGTATATATGTATTATACATTATTTATGTGTTTGTGTGTATATATATATATGCACCATTAGATGTATCTCAACTAAATCAAGAAAACAATCTATTAATGATTTAACAACAACAAACCCTGAGCAAACTAGGAATAGAAGAATACTTTCTTAATCATATAAAAAGAATCAAAAATTAGTACAAATACCATTATTATTGGGGAAATACTTAAATTATTTATTTGACATAGGTAAAAAAACAAGTATAACTACCACTCTCCTTCCTTTTTTTTTTTATAATGTTTTCGTGGAAATAATAGCACCTTAAGGCAAGAAAATGAGATTATACACATAAGGATTAAAAAGGAAGACATAAAATTACCTCTATTATATTGTTTGTTTGATTAGTTATAGAATTTAAAATTATTAGGGAACAAATTTATCAATTTCTGGGTTCTGTCTTGAATGCTAACCTTAAAAGTCTCCCCTGACTGAGATTGTCTTGATGTTAATCTTTGGTTTTTAACTAATTGTTAAATGATTTTTTACCTTTGGCAAATTCATCTGGAATGACTCAAATACACTTTGACTTTTGGAGGGAATGCAAATGCAGCTAAAGAAGGTTTGATCTCACGATAATTGAATGTTGTTGTTATTACTGTGGGTATGGAGCTGTCCAGGATGTTGCAACAGTTACAATGAAAACTAAATGAAACTACTGTGTAGCATCAATAGATTTTACACATAAAAATTTACAACTGGCTTATAATACATTAATGCATATGTAATTCTTTATATAGTTATTTTTAGTTTAAGAATTATGAGTCTACATTGTAATAGTTATAGGTGCTGATCAATTTCCATTTAGATTCTTTGAACAAACCCCTGAAAATATAACATGAAAATCATTTTAAAAAGTACTGAAGAGAAAGATATAAAGGATGATAAAGTTTCAGAGAAAGTTTAAAACTATACATAATTTTTGAAAATAAAGACTTATAGAATATAGAAAGCTTTGGAACAAGATTAATCAAGTTAAATCAGCTTGTAAGAGCAAGATAATATATGAGAAAGTTTCTCTTACCTAATTGCAGTACCCGTGCCATTAGCCTTCAAAGTTCAACACTTTTCTTGTACATAGGATTACTAATAAAATGATATTTTCTAAAGTGTTGCAATGGGGAAGAAATAAACAAATCCCTTAACTTTCTATCATATTTCTTAACTGTGTACAATGAGGGGCAAATAAATTGTATTATTGTAAGTGGCCAATCAACAATATTAACTGATTTTTCATTCTTATATTTTCATTATTTTCTTTCTTTAATATCTTCTCTTTTTTAGTTCATTGACATATATTTGATTTACAATTTTATATTAGTTTCAGGTATACAGCATAGGGATTCAGTATTTTTACAGATTATACTCCATTAAAAACTATTGCAAGATAATAAGTGTAATTCTCAGTGCTGTACAATCTTATCTTTTTACTTATTTATTTTCTACATAGGAGTTTGTATTTCTTAATCCCATATCCTATTTTGCCCCTTCTCCCTTCTCTTTCTCCTTTGGTAACCACAAGTTTGTTTTCTATATCTGTGAATCTCCTTCTGTTTTATGTATACATTTGTTTGTATTATTTTTTTTAGATTCCACACGTAAGTGATTTTATACAGTATTTGTCTTTCTCTGTCTGATTTCATTTCAATAAACATAATATTTTCTAGGTCCATCCATGTTGCTGCAAATGATGGAATTTCATTCTTTTTTCATGTCTGAGTAATACCCGTGTATGTGTATCACATCTTTATCCACTCATCTGTCGATTGGAACTTGGGTTGCTTCTGTATTTTGGCTATTGTAAGTAATGCTGCTATGAACATTGGGGTGTATGTATCCTTTCAAATTAATTTTTTTTTCATTTCTTCCCAGATATATACCCAAGAATGAAGTTATTGGATCATATGTTAGTCCTGTTTTTAGTGTTTTAAGGAACTTCCATATTGTCTTCCATAGTGGCTGCACCAATTTGCATTCCCACCAACAGTGTACAAGGGTTCCCTTTTCTCCACATTCTCGCCAACATTTGTTATTTGTAGACTTTTTGGTGATAGCCATTCTGACAGGTGTAAGGTGATATCTCATGTGTTTGATTTGTATTTCTCTAATAATTAGTGATGTTGAGCATCTTTTCATGCGCCTGTTAGCCATCTGTGTGTCTTTTTTTGGAAAAATGTTAGTCTTCTGCCCATTTTTCAATTGAATGTTTCTAGTATTGAGTTGTAAGAGCTGTTTACACATTTTGGATATTAACTCCTTGTCATCCATGTCATGTGCAAACATATTCTCCAATTCAGTAGCTTGTCTTTTTGTTTTGTCAGTGGTTTCCTTTCCTGTGTGAAATCTTTTAAGCTTAATTAGGTCCCTTTTGTTTATTTTTGCTTTTATTTCTTTTGCCTTAGGAGACAGATCTCCCCAAAATTGCTACTATTTATGTCAAAGAGTGCTCTGCCTATGTTCTCTTTGAGGAGTTTTACAGTTTCAGGTCTTTCATTTATGTCTTTAATATATTTTGAGTTTATTTTTGTACATGGTGTGAGGAACTGTTATAATTGCATCCTTTTCCATGTAGCTGTCCAGTTTTCTCAGCACCATTTATTGAAAAGGCTATCTTTTCTCCATTGTATATTCTTACCTCCTTTGTTTTAGATTAATCGTCCATAACGTAAGTGTGTGTGTTTATTTCCAGGCCCTCCATTCTGTTCCATTGTTCTACACATCTGTTTCTGTGCCAATACCACTTCGGATTACTGTAGCTTTGCGGTATAGTCTAAAGTCTGGAAGTGTGATATCTTTAGCTTTCTTCTTTTTTTCTCAGATTTCTTTGGCAATTTGAGGTCTTTTCTCGTTCTATGTAATTTTAGGACTTTTTTTCTAGTTCTGTGAAAAATATCATGGATATTTTGATACAGATTGCATTAAATCTGTAGATTTAATAGGTCTTTTTTACTTCTTCTTTTGCAAGTTTAACTCATTAATTTCAAGTATCATTTCTTTTCCAATACAAACATTTAAAGCTGTAAGTTTTCTTCTAAGGACTGCTCTATCTGAATTTCACCAGCTTGACACACAGTGTTTTTGTTATTTTTAAATTCTAATTATCTTCTTCATCTTTTATAATTTCTTCTAAGCCTACATATTTTTCAGTGACATAATTTTTATTTGCAAAAATATGTTGCTTTCCCAATCTTTCTTTTTTATTAATTTCTCCTTTAGTCACTTTTTTGGACAGAAACTATAGTCTGTATCATGTCAGTCTTTGAAGTAACTTGAGGCTGGCAGTAT